GTTCCACAGCTGTGGCTCCACATCACTCCACTAACAAGCATGTGAGCCTCATTTCACAGCCCAGTTACTAACCACGTTAAAAGAGAAGGCATGGATGCAAGTGGAACATCAACAGCAGTGAAAGTCATTTTCAATTACATCTTGTGTTTTTCTGATTTTGGGAGCAGATGTGCTTCTCGCCGTAGTGAAAGCCACGTTTCCTTTTTTTTTGGCGCCTATTCATTTTGTTGTGTGTCCTTTTCCCCCCCCGACTTTGTTAAATCAGAAAAGGTAGAAATCCTTATCGTTTTTTCTTTTTTAATTACTACCTTCAGCTTGTGTGTCGCGCTCCCATCGGCCGCGGCTCGCCAACAGCTTCTCTGGGCGACGAGCAAACTGCAACCGACCAACGTTTTTATGATGCTTCTACGCCGCCGGAGGTGTCCCGAAGGCCTTTCGTCAAAGCGCGGTGTTACGTCCACCTGGACTCAAGGAACGGATACGGAAACGAACCGACACAAAACACGTTTTAGGCCTCATCTCCAAACACTTTTGCTTGTTTTATTTTCACAATGTGGAGAGAATGTTTATATCATAAAAAATAATCGTCCAAATGCCTCGATTGGTGTTGCGATGCATGGTTAGGTTACAAAATATTTACACAAGGAGATTTTTTGTCCTGTGGGCAGCTGGAACGGTCAGAGGAGAAGATCTCTTTACTTGCAACCCGGAAAGTACAATACTAACAACTTATTGTAATATCCAGATATATATACATCCATATTATACTCCCCCATAATTTGACCCAGACAACAGACAACAATGAAGCGTTTACACCGATGTTGATGCAACTGCTTAATTGGCTGGTTGGCGGAGGCGTAATCCTGGTTCAGCCCAGCATCATCGATTTAGAGTGATGTTGAGCCGATTAGGAAGACTGTCACTCACTCACACACAAAGATCCACTTGGCAGACGCACAGTTGCTGCTGCTGAGTGCAGGCGGGTTGGTGGCTGTTTTCTCTGCTCAGAATTCCGTCCTCGTCCAAAATTGTTGAAAAATAGATACAAGGTGAAACGGAAAAAAATTTGTGATCCGAGCACCGTGTGACCTCATCGCTACCTGCTGGAGACAGAGCTTCAGCCAGGAGCCCACGCACACGCACACACACACACACACACACACACATGCACGCATCTGTTGCAGGCCAGTGTGCCAGTCCCTGGTAGGAAAAGACACGTCAGCAGCTGCACAGATGATGAAAAGAAAAAGGTTTATTGATGGCCGGAGGACATAAATATATATATATATATATATATATATATATATATATATATATATATATATATATTTTTCCTTTCTTTTTTGATTTCCTGCTTGGGGTCAAAGGTCGGGTTGAGATACAGAACAAAAGGTCATCAGGCACCTCACTTGGCAACCAGCCCTGGAACCCCCCCACTACCAAACTATCAGTATGCAGTGAGAATATGGAGAAGGGAAGAACATTTAAATTAAAGTAAAAGTAAAATGTCTTTTCCTTGAGCAAATTTGATTAATTAAATACACAATAACTCATTTTTGGCGGCTTGTATTGCACTGTATGGTGACGTCAAATGTAAAAAATGATATAGGATGTATTTTATTGCTTGATTCAACGATGGAGTGCGTTGATTAAAAAAAAAAAAAAAGGTATATTTTTTTGTGGCCTCGCCCTGTCACCCTGTTCCTCCTGCTCATAGAATGATAAACCGTAAGATGAGTCGTGTCTTGCCGTTGTTTGCCTGGGAAGTGGTGTCCTTCCTCCAGTAGTTTCTTTGTTTTTGCCACGAATTAAAAGTGAAAGAAGGAGACTGTGGATAAGTGTGTGTACGTGGGAACCTCGACTAACCTCACTTCGGTTACCAAGGTGTCACTGTGGTTGTACACCCCCCGATGGAATTTGATTGGCCTTTCCAACCAAAGTCAGATGGTAAGTGGTCTTTCAGGCCGGGGATGAATTACGCTCGTACGAGACACAAGGCCGATGCCCGACACAGTTAACTTTACAAAACAACCCGTAAGAAACACAACACATTATGGATTGATCAAACATAAACAACACGCAGTGACCAGAGAGACACAACGTGGCCTCATAGGGACATGAAACTACCCCTATAGACACACAAAACAACCACTCGCTTGATGCATGATGATGGAGGCAAAGACAAAGAAAACCAGTCTGACCACCCAGCGGTAACATTTATAGAAACCGCCCCTGTTGGGTTTCAGTGAAGCACGCTGTGTCCAGTTCAATGTATTTAACGTATGCTGGGCGGAGCTCACAGGGTAAAGAGAGCTCGGCGCCCAATGGAAGCTATTCAGATGAACAGGCTGACTGAGAAACGGAGGACGGACCTCGATTCTGTTTGTGGTCTCCTTGTGTGTGTGTGTGTGTGCGTGTGTTTGTCTGTACAAGTAGTCACGCAAAGAGGTGTGTGTGTGTGTGTGTGTGTGTTTGTCTGACGGGACCAACCCAAGAGCAGCTCGCACAGAGGAAGTGTGAGTGTGTCTGTACATTCTGTGTGTTCAATGTGGGGAAACTAACAATAGATTCTCCCTCCCTGCCACTGATTTGCATACTGAGCAGGTACTGTAGCTTTTGTTGTAGCAGGATGAACTCGTTGCCCTGTTGTGTCACGTGACTTTGCTATGCTGCTTTATGGTGGTGAATCACGCTTCTTACTTCTTACTTCCAGGGTGTTTGTTTTCTCTGACAACATGTCGGTGTCACGCGGGAAATCAGTCAGTGTGCACGTGATGACCAGGAGAACGTCCCTGGTCGACATTTGCTCCTGCACACAGTGCCCTGCCAACCCTAATGTGCTTTAACGCTGTATTCCTAATAACAGCAACTAGACTTGCATTTAAGTTATCGAAGACTCATCCAAAAAGCCTCCTCACTTCTGGTGGACTGAGGCCGTTGTTCCTCTGTAGAGATTTCTGCCGAGGTTGGACTGTATGGAATGCCGTTTTAGTCAAAATTAAATAAATACATAAAATATGCATTTGAAATACATCATGACATAAATAAATGAGGCAATAAATACATAAATATTAAATACATTTAATTATTTCATGGTACTTTTATTTCTCGGAGCCCACCGATGTCTTCCATTATATCAACACTCACGTCCCTTAGCCAGCCTTTTTTTGCACAAGGCTCTGTTGTCTGTTCTGAACGTTAGATGTAGCCACGCCCCCTGATTTAAGATATAAGAACGTTGATATAAGAACGTGAAATGAAAAACATTATGAAATAAAAGTCTCTAGAAATGTAAAATGGCATTATGAAATAAAAGACTGGAAATTAAAAGTGGCATTATGAAATAAAAGTACCATGAAATAATAAAATGTATTTATGTATTTATTCAATTTAGACTAAAACCGCATTCCATAGGACCCTCTTTGAAGGAACATGAGGTGTCCCCGGTCAGACGGGACATGTGGTCCACTCCAGGTCGTCCTCTGTCTGCCCAGAGGCTCTCGTGGCCTTCGACACTTCATCCTACGCACTCTGAGCGAAGCCTCAAGATGCTTGAACTTTCCCTGCAGCTTGTTTGCACCGCGCTGTCAGACCGGGAGGTGTCCACTCGCTCTGGAAGCTTCTTACTCCAATGGTTGAAGTAGAAACTACACGATGTGCATGTCCATTTAATGTTACAAGGACCTCTACGCTGGTCTGACTATTATCTCCCAGGCGCCACATCATCACGGCGCCACAGAGCCTCTTTGAGACTCGGTCAGAGGGGATAATTGGGTCGTTAAAATGTGACTTTTAGACAGGATACTTGGATTCATTTCCTATCTGCTACAGACAGTTAAGATTGCTTTCTTTTAACCGTGACCACAATCTTTCCATAATCTTTACAGAGTGTTCTTTGTGCCTGAAACTGATCAGGTAATCAGTCCATAATCATTCTCTGTGTCAGTGGTGGATTCCAGCCCGCCATTTGTTCAGACCGCTCTGCCGTCTTTGGGATTCCTCCTGACCAGCTTTTTCTTTGTCGTTTTTCATCAAATTATTTCAACAAATATCAGATAGTTTGCTGAGAAACTTTTTGGATATTTGTGTTCCCCAGGGGAAGAATTAGGCTTTGATCCCCTGGACTCTCAATGGGCTCGGAATTTGTATAGACTATGCGTATTTGTATAGATGAAAAAAATAGTTTATTGCTGATTAACAAATGTTGGCGTGCAAAGCGAAGGTGCGAGGCATCAGCACGCTGTGGTCAGCAGCAGAGCACGGAGCTGCTGGTTTATGGCCATCACCTCCGGTTGAATTGTAATTCTTTACTGGTTTATCCAAAACAATACTTCCCGTTTGTTATTGTGTGTAAATAGGTCGGCTCTGTGTGCACACTTTGTTGTATCCTTGTATACTTTTCACAGCAGCTGTTGTGTTTAGTGACACACTGACTCTAAAGGCAGAGTCGTCCCCTGGCATTCAAAAGGCTTCGACGCACCACACCGCCTCCCTGCACTCATTAGTCCTGGCATTGTGTGTGTGTGTGTGTGTCTCTCCTTCAGAGAATGGCTTTGGGTCGGTTTAATCTGAGCATTGAAGAAATGAACATTGGGTCTGGGGATTTACCAAATTATGTTTTAAAGCAGATTAAAGCGGGGGGGTGAACTACAACAATCAAGGAACATGGCACGGCTCTAAACCCATCCACGGTAGATAGGAGACGTGAGATTACTGCACACTGTGCTCACGTTTTAAGAAATACATTTTAATATTTAAAAAAAGATCTATTATTCCATTACTTTTGCTGATGTTTTAGGATGGGCTAATGGTGATGGTGGTTTCATATGGTGAACGCGTCGGGTCCTGAAGGGACGAAACCGAGCCCCAAAACTCAACTGTGAAGCGAGTGTCACAAATCCACAAAGCCAATCGTAAATATGGGAGAAACGTGACGCTAGCGGCGTTAAGTGCCGTGGTCGAAAAGCGCTAACGTGCGTCTGCGTCTGTGTCTCCCATAGGAGGAGATCCCTGAAGAAAGCTACCTGCGCGTGACAAGAAGCACCGGCTTGTTCAGACGGACCCGAGGAAACCACCAGCATTCTACCCCTCAGCCACGGCCCGGCTTTACCTCTGGCCCGCCCTCCTCTCTTCCTCCGATCCAATCAGCAAGAACGAGCTCTCCCGCTTTCTACCTCCCAGAGAAATACACAAGTGAAAGCAATTCATTATTTATTTATTCCTTGTCCTGGCGCACCGTTTCTCCATTTACCTCAGGGACTTTCTCTCCCAGGGCCCGGCTCCTCCACCGAAACCGCCGGGCCCCCCGTGACCGGCGCACAGGGCAGATATTCACCCGTGACCTCTCGCTGCTGTTGCCATGACAACCGTATTGCCTCTCGAGTTCTCCTCACTGCAGCTGTGACCAGCGACGACCTCGGACCTCTCCTCACCCGCCAGCTCGGGCCTGCTCACTGCCAGGATTGTACTCGTGCACATCTGTAGCCTGGGTAGTTATCACTGGACTGTTGCCAGATAGCCAGCTATGCTCTCACAGTAACCTCACGCAGGAAACGATATATATACCTCAGCGACACTCGCCCAAGGAAACCCAAGGAACCTGTACAGTAACAGCGTTCGCCGTACTGGTTCTTCGACCCATTCCGGCAAAGGAGTGCGCGCACCGCTTGGATCCGCCCTGTAGACGACTCTCCTTCAGCCTCCTTCAGGCAGGAGTGGAGCAACAGTAGCCTCCAGAGGGGGGAGGGAGGTAGGGAGAGAGAGAGAGCGAGAGGGAGAGAGACACTCGGGAGCACTGCCTCGGCAAAGTGGCATCGGGATCCATGCTGTTGGAATAAATCAGCGATTTCCCAAGAGGTCTTTTTGGGGGAGATCGCAGCAGAGACTCCAAAGTTCCCCCTCGCCTTCACTCACATGAAGCCCCAAGAGACGTAAATCCACCCACGAGGCAGACGCTGTTGAGGGGGCCTCAACAGCAGCAGAAATAGAGGCTCGAGAACCCTGTCAAATAAAAACCACTGCGTTGGGAACTGAGAGCAAAACACTGTGGTCCGTGTTGAGCGGCGGCACAAAGGAGGGGGGCGGCGTTCGGAGGACAGAGAAGAATGCAGAGGTGAGTTCCTGTTTTTTAATGAATGGTTTTATAAATAATTAGACATGTTTGTTTCTCAGCGCGCTTTCCACACTTGTTTCGTCTCCTCAGTAAGTGAAGCGTCGGCGGGCCAACTTGTAAAGAATAGAGCAGTTTGTCTTCTTTGCTCTCATCCTTTGCCATCGCGTACTAATGAAAAAGTAGAAGATATTTTTTCCATCTGTTATGGCTTTCTAACTGACATTTAAATGGCATTTCTGCCGTATTAGATGGTACAGAGTGGAGACGGACAGCTTTGCAGTAAAGGTCATTAACCCCTGCAGGATCAGCAAAGAAACGTCATTGAGGAGAGACGCGTCCTGTAATACGAGTCCGCGGGAAGTTTGCAGCTTGAAACTTAAGTAAAACGTTGCCTTGTATTCGCCGTCTTGTTGATGAACAAGCACCTGCAAGACTCACATACTGTTGAGGGGCGGAGCCTCATTGCTGATTTGGGGATTTATGGCGAAACATTTTAGACCAGCCGTGACATGTTGGTGAACATCAGCCTTCATTGCCCTCCAGTAACAACAGACAAAGAATCTGGCTACGGTTTTGTCTGCCAAAAGAAGGATGGGGTTGTTATGACAGGCCCTCAGGCTATTTAGCGAGAACCTCCTGCCATGTGGCCTGGATCCGCTGGAGACGCTTGTGTTGCAGTGTAGGATCTGGTTAGTTGAGTCAGATGCGGTTAAACTGTCAAGCTCGCCACGCTAGTACTAACGTGGTAATTGGTAATTACTCAAATGTCAACCTCACGACACAAAGAAAATGATGATGCAAATTGCGGTCCAGCTGATCACGGCTGCATGGCAACATGGCTACGTTTATTTAAGAATAGACTCATGAAAGTTTTGCCTGAATGGCAATAAAGAACGTCGCGCCCCTTCGCTGGCAAGCCAACGTTCGCTAACAAGATTACCTGACTTTATGATCCCTATCGGAAGGACCGGCCCTGCCTGGAGGGCTTTTATAGTTCACAGTTTATCCCCGATGTGTACCTGGGATCCTGCCTGGGACCCAGGTTTGATCTGGGCGGGGTTAATTTGGCCTGTTGCATCAGGATTAAACTGGCAATGTTCTGCCGTGCATCTTTTAGGGAATTCCTTCAACAGTCATTGACAGTCTCGTCACTTCTCAGCGCCACAACTTGATCCCCTCCTTTGGCCCGCGAAGCCCACGGACGCCGGCTTGTATGCACGCGAGCTCCAGGTGTTTGTGTCTTCCTCTCCCTGTCTATTTTGGCCTGGGCCATCTGTAGCAGCCATCGACCTACTGGGACCAATGGGACGGCTCTGTGAAGGGTGTTTTTCCTGTCACGTATACATCGCTAAGTGGACAAGTCGGATTAAAGGGCACACGGGGTAAAGGGGAGGGATCTCCTTTGTGTGCATGAACAGGACACCACCAAGCTTTACAAAGACTATTTCTGCCGTTTGTGTGTGTGTGTGTGTGTGTGTGTGTGTGTGTGTTTGTGGGAGAGATGAAACACACTTTTCCACAGAAAACTTCTTTGAATGCATGAAACATGAATTAAACCCGCAGTACTTTATAGTTGTAGTTTTATGTTTCAGTTTGATGGTTTTCCTAATCGGTCCACTTTGTATTATGGGATGTATGGCTAAGGACAGGTATGTCAAGAAATATTAAAAGTAAAGGTTCATCTTCCCTCCATCTCCTCTTGCAGTTGGAGGGATTGAATGCATTGAGCATTAAATTGACAGTCGTTGGCATCATTTGAAACTGAGCGAGTCAGCAATGAATCTGTCTCGAGGGGGATTGTTTTAAGAAGAAGAAGAAGAAGATTGTGTCGTTTCTTTTCCTCGGGTCGTACTTTTTATAATGAAGCTGAGCACAGTGCGATTTGGAATGTTTTTTAATTAACGCTCCCATGCCTGTATCACTCCTCGTTCTCACTCCTCGTTTAACACCGGAACATCCTTGTTAACACATGCATGCTATCACTCGCTTCAAAATAGGTCATCCTAAAAAAAAGAAAAGGAAAAAAAAGCCCTTTTCTTTTCTTTTTTGCAAAAATTAAAACATCAACGGGTTTTTTTTTTTTGGTCCTGTACCATCGGACCATTGCAAACAGCCGTGTCTTTACACATCTGCCCCGTTGTTCCAGTGAGTATTAGTCTGGGAACTTGCAGTTTCAATCTGTTTTGTCAGGTCCACATCAAGACATCGACAAAACTTATCAAACTTGTTTCAGCTCACTGTAAGCCAATTTAAAACCACCAATTTAATTTATGTAACTTCATTTTTGGGCCCGTTTTTCAATCGCTTAAGATTAAGATCATTAAAGCTAGAATCCCCTAAGATGATTATTTATGTCGAAGAAATGAAATGCAAAAATAATACAACACCAGGGGTCAATCTTTTTATTTATTATGATCAATTCACCCACTAAATCCCCCCCTGTCCAATTATATATGTGTGTGTTTTTCAATCCGCACTGATCGACCCTCACGCCCTCTTTTGATGAGATTTCTGTTAACTCAGTTTCTGTCTTTTTGAAAGAAAGAAAATTAATCTGTACTTTTTTACTTCCACATTTTAACCCCATTCACTTCCACATTTTAACTCCATGCGGTTAAACGGTTCACTCATGTTTCCTTTTGTTCCGACATTGGGTCAAAGAAGATTTAATGCGGCGCTTTAACGCTGATCAACATTTGATCTGTTGTCCTTTACAAGGACTTTGATCGGCTTTTCTGTCTTTTTTGTTCTTTCTCTATTCTTCTTTGCAAAGTTGGTCATGTTCCTTTTTCCAATCCAATCCCCGACACCTCCATTGGGTTTTGATCTGTACTCTGTTACATTAACGTTAAACAAGAAGAACAAGGAGGGCGAGGACGCTCAGTCGGCACATTCTGGGTCCAGAGCATTGTGACCTTTTCTATTCGCGGTGAGGGTAATCCCAGCACCGATCAATATCTCCACAAAAACCCTGATTGACAAGAGCTTAACGGACGGGAGACATGGATTTAGGACTAATCTATGAAATTGTTCAAGCGATCAAATTAAATCATCCCTATTGGTCTTCAAATGATCCCTGTTTGGGACGTAAGCAGTGAATAGCAAAGCCTGCAACATATTCGTATACAAATGTTGTTGCTGAGAAGCACTTATTGTACTGCTGCTGTGTGCACCTGTGTGTAGCTGTGTGCACCTGTGTGTAGCTGTGTGCACCTGTGTGTAGCTGTGTGCACCTGTGTGCTGCTGTGTGCACCTGTGTATAGCTGTGTGCACCTGTGTGCTGCTGTGTGCACTTGTGTGCACTTGTGTGCAGCGGGTCGGAGGCTGTTGTCCTTCAACACCGCTGAGTTCACTACCTCCAAAGCATCCAACATGTTGCTGGAGACGAGGTGAGGGGGAGTTTATGTCAACTGTGGACGAGAGTTTCCAGCAGAAAGTATTAACGAAGTTGCAAAGCGCAGGAAGTGTTTTTGCTGCCACAAGTCGGCTCACTCAGAATGCAGCATGAAACAAAAAAAGAGCCGTGAGTTTGTTGGACTCTTGTGTTGTACTTCTGACTAAAGTCTTTGTTTCGTGTTTGACGTAATATTGAACCTTTGGTGTCGCCAAACCGAATATCTGGACTTGTACTTTCTCAGACACGTGCCAATTATCAAGAATAATTGTTTTGCAATGAAAAATATATAATATTATATCTACGGCACTGGGCGGCCCCTGCTGTGCGCAACCTTTTGTTGGGCGTCCTGTTTTTTTCATTCCTGATGCTCACTTTGAACGAGCTTTTTCTTTTTTTCAAAATCAACATTACATTTCCGAGTTTGACTGGTGAAATTGATTCATTCCACATTTAGACTTTAAGATTAAACTTCTTTTTAAAGCAAAATGACTTGTGATGTTATAAATTGATGTTGATATAAATCACAAAAAAAAAAAGCAAAGGCGTGTGAGTTTGTTGATAGTCAATAGCTCTGTGACGTGCTTTCACATCCTCCGGTGCAGAAGCTCTTTACATCCATTCAGGGTTGATTTGCCTACTCCTACAGTGTTGCATGTCCAAACCCCCGACGCACATATGTCAACCTGCTGCACTCAATCAATGCAATATAAAGCATGTGACGACATGTTTGTTATGTCGCAAACAGGATGAACGCACACTGCATGTAGTGCGCTACACGTAGAGACAGATATTACTAACGGCTCTTTAGGCCAATTACTTTTCTTCAAACTTGAAAACACTGCACTTGCCGCGATGGGAGCTTACAGGAGATGGTGGTAGCGTTACCACCTAAAATTGTAATTAGTGAGATGTTTTCCCTTCCAGACAAAAGCAGCATCTCATTACCCGGTAGTTATGTTAGTTAGTTTGATACTATATGTGCAAAGCATTTGTTCAAAAAGAGAGAAATGAAAGACGGGCACGTCAGGACTTCAGTGCAAACACACGTCAGAGTTTGTTCCGGTCCCCGAACCCCCGAACCCTCACGGCACAGTGTTCCCCCTACCATCATAAGAGGGGCGCACACTGCAGCACATGCGCAGTTATTAGGGGATATTTCTCCTCATTTGACGAAAAGCTGCTTTCCATTCTCGCAAATTCTGGCAAACAACTTCCAACCGTTTAATTTAATTTGCCCAAGGTGGGTAATCCTTCACAATAATCGCAAAGATTTAATTTGTTTTTGTTGCAGCTTCTCTTCCGTCTTTAATTAACTATGCATAATTAAGTCTATTTAATATCTGAAATGTATACCTCTTGAGAAGATAGAAATAAGATAAAATGCTACTTTTTTCGAAATGGCAGGCAATTTGCAACGGTTTAGGTTTGATAGTGTTTGAAGTTGAGGCAACAGAGTACATTCGTTACACTAAAGAAAGCTGTCGAAGCAGCAGATACATACCGGTTCTACGGCGCTGAACATAAAACATCATTTGAAATATACTGCATATTGCAGAACGGTTGACCATAAAGAGACGACAAAAAATAACCCTCAGTGGTCTTC